TCTGCGCCGAACTTTGGGTCCAGCAGCGTGGACCTGGGCGTGCGTGTGTGTGCGCGCCCCAGGCTTTGTGTACAACTCGTGCGTGTGTCTGCACTGGGGTTTGTGAAGCTTGTCCTCCACCCGCTGTGCGTCCGTCTCCCCGCGTGGCAGTGCGTGCAGGGAGGGGGAGAGTGCGGGGGCCGGGTGGTTTATGGAGGACCTTACTGTACCTTACAGTTCTGGGGGTACTTAACTTTGTGTGTGTGTGTGACCAGATTACCCCTCCCGGGTGCAGGTACAGCGTGGCCCCAGGATCTTTGCGTGTTGTGTGTGAAAATGACCGTGTGTGTGAATATAGAACTAGGATGCGCTTTTCAGGGCTACAGATGACACTGGAGTGTAAGTAATAATGGCTGTAGGCGTGTGAGTGGTGGGCTTGAGTATCTGTCAGTTTGTTTCTGCTTATATGGTGTAATTGACTAGGTATGCCCTTTATAACTGGGGTGTGTGTGTGTGTGTGTGTGAGAGAGAGAGAGAGAGAGAGAGAGAAACTCTTGAATGAAAGAAAACCTTATTTTCCTCCATTTCCCCTCATCGGTATCCTCAGAAAAGTTTTGGATGAAATTGCCCTGCTTCCAGGATGTCGCTGTCCCAGTTTCCCTGAATGTCAGTGTACTGGTCTGGGAAGGGGCTTCCTGGGCCATTCGAACTGCTGAATACTGTGGAGGGTGCCGAGGACCTGACTGGCATGGCAGGGCTGCATCTGAACCCTGAGTGGCAACCACTATGCATGGTGGCTACTGTCAGGTTCTGCTAGAGGCCAGGGGCTTCCAAGAATGCTTTTGGAGCCCTGATTAAAAACCAACCAAGACATCTCTCCTCTCAGTCTTAGTGGAAAGTGAACACTCTGGGGAGGATCTGGCCCTGTGCAGGCACTCCCCCAGGGTGTGGAAGGCATGATCTCTCTGGGAAGAGGCATGGTAAGACATTCCTGGTTATCATGACAGGTTGTCATGCCAAATCCTGGGAGGAGACCTTCCGACCCAGACAGAATTCAGACACAGCCTTGCCGATAGGATGCTCATCACTGCTGTTCAATAGTTGATAAAATGCAGGATTGAGGAGCAAGGGCTGGAAGAGGCAGGCTTGTAGGTGATGACAGTTTGCAGCGAGCCTTGTTGAGCTCCTGGCGCCATATACGTACCTTGGAATCTTGATCACGTTTTACACGATGGAGATAGTGATTCCTGCACACTGGGCAGGTGAGATTCGCAAGACCTGCGCCAAGGTGCCTGATGCAGGGCCTGACAGTGTAGATTCTCAGTAATTCATTATTTGGAGCAAGGGAAAGATGAGCATGATGATGAAACAGATTGCGGGTGCAAACAGGGTCTGTACTCAGATGGAAGACCCCGTGTGTACTAAGAGGAGATGTCTGACAGAAGCCTGTCAGCTGGGAGGTCAGAAAGACTGACAAGAAGCCTTCCTGCACCAGTGCTCCTTGGGCTCCCTTCATTCACACATGATTCAGCTGTTCATATTCTCTCTCACAGCAGCATAACTTTGGGGAATAAAGTTGGGGATGGTCAAGCAGAGAACCATCTGGAAACGTGCATATGCACACACACTAGGGCACTTGATTCATTCAAATCTAGGAGGGGTTTCTGTACAGCCTGGGGACCAGAACATGTAAGCAGGTGTCTGGAGTGGGCAGATATGTCCCCAGGATATCGGGATAAGCAGAAGGATATAGTTCTGCTGTGGGATCAGGAATCACGTGCCCAGTGGGTAAGGGGTGCAGGTGGGAGACAGGGGAGCGGATTTGATCTTCCTAAGGGAGGCCCCACTACCACCTCCAGTTGAGCATTGTTATGAGGAGATGAAGCCCAGGGAGACCAGCTCCTTCTCATTTTTTGTGAGAGAAGCCAGGGATTGAAATTTCCGAATGTAAATCTTGTGCTTTTCACATTTGGCAACCATCCACCAAAACCAAATAGACCAGAAACAAATAAGACTTTATGAGCCAAATGTAGCCCTCGGGCTGTGAGTTGGCATCTTCTGATAGCGATGCCCATGTGCTGTTTGTCTGTCTGTGCTGGCGTGTCCAGGCACTTGGGTGAGGTTTCTTTTTACGGCACAGAAAGTGGCTCCTTCTCACCTCTGTTCTGTTCCTCCTCAGACTCACCTGGCCCCTAGTTGAACTCATGATCTGCCCCTTCCCTTTCCCATTTATCCTCCTGATTCCTTACCTAATCCCTTGACCTCAGCTCGGGACAGCACCCGGCTTCCCTTACATACAGTTGGCAAAGATGACTTTAAGTCATGGCTCTTTCTGTTTGCCCTCAGCCACCATCCCTGCCATCCTGCACTCTGCCACCCCCTCGCTGGACCCCCCCCCCCGGCCGTTGCTCATTCCCTTCTGGTCCTTCACACTCCAGCCTGATGAGCCTTCATCTTCCTGTCACTCCCACAGTGATCCCCTGGCTTCTTGGCCTGGCTTTCAGAGTTTTGTCCTGTGTCCTCGGCTGACCTCCGAGGTCCCTCCTCCCTTTCCCGAATGCCCTGGTCTCTAATTGCCAAGAGATTTCCCATGCATCCTCCGAGGTCTAGTTCAAATGCCATCAACGCCTGCAAGTTCCCTTAAGTTTTCTTTTTGTTCCCACATCACCGTCATCGTGCCTTCACCTCACCTTCCATCATCCTCATCTCACCACGGTGGTTCCCGTTTTGTTGAACTGGCTTGAGTCTTGGTGTGTATCATCTTATGAAATCCTCACAATGGCCCTCAGGGGGAGATACTGCCTTTATTTTCACATTACAGATGATACAGACGGGGTGGTCCCATCGCTTGTCCAAGGTCAGGTGGTGGAGCTCATCACCATCATTATCATAACCACGGACCAAACCAGCTGCCATTGTGTCAGCTGCCATGTGTGTCACCGTAGCGCTGTGCTCCGTAGGGTTTTCAATAGCTGTAATCTTTTAGAAGTAATCCCCAGGTTTTTCTTCTGAGGAGGCTCCAGGTAACTCAAACTGACAGCCTTTCAGTTAGCATCCGGGGACTTAACCCTTAGCACCCCCCAGGTACATTCCATGGGAGGCCACGGGCCATTCAGGGCTCTTCTCCAACACTGTAACTCAAAGGCATTGGTTCTTCTCCCGTCATCTTTCTTCCTTGTCCAGCTTTCAGATGCCCAGCAGGTGATTGGAAAGACTATGGCCTGAATCAGGCATTCCTTAGTCTTTAAACTGACAGCATTACTATTTGACACAAAGGGATGAGTTAAAAGTCAACAACAGCCGATTGTGATTAAGACCCACTGTGCACTTGCTGTGGTCCAGGTACAGGTGAGCTTGTTCCTGTATGAGTTTCAAGCTCTGCTGGCTTAGTGCTGAGGAGTTGTGCTGCCAACCCAGAAGCAAACGATTCGAATCCATCCGCTATGAGTGAGTCGGTTCTAGCTCTACCTCCCATAACAACAACATAGCAGCTTTAGAGCTCTCGTGGGTAAGGAATTGCACTGCCAACCCAAAGGCAGGTGGTACAAACCCACCAGCTGCTCTGAGGGAGAAAGATGAGCAGTCTCCTTCTGCATAGTTTACCACCTTGGAAAACCTGCTGGAAGGTTCAGCCATGATGAGTCAGAACTCGAAGGCACGTGCCAACAAACGTGTACGTTTCATGACAGAAGGAGTAGGGGTAGAAGTAGTATTGCCATTTTGTTGTGTGTGTCCTGTGGAGTGGGAACCGATTCAAGCTGACCCTCCAGTAGGTTTTCAGAGACAGTAAATGACAGGGGAGGAGGTTGGTCATCCTCCTGTGAAGCAGCTGGGGCATTTGAACTGCCTTTGGGAAGCACAGGTTCTTACTGAAAACAAAAGGGGTTGAATGAGTTGCTTAGAACCACACACCAGCCAGTGTTGAGGTAGGACCCTAACAAGGCTGGCAACACTCTGTCTTTATCTTGGTTGCCCAGATTCCCCAGCCATGAGCATCCCCGGGTGGGAACTGGGTCTGATTCATGCTCACACCCTTAGGCCAACTCTGACACCTGACATTAGCAGGCACTTGGCCGAGGACTGCTAAATTCACCTGACTCTGCATTTCTCTTCTAGCTGCCCAGGGGCCAAGGGATGAGCCGAGGCTCCCCTTCCCAATGGCATCGCCGCCGGCTCTGGAGCTGAAGACCCTGAGGAATGGCCCCCAGACCCCCAGGAGACCAGCTCCTCAGGCCCCGGCGGCCCCACGCAGGGAGGGTGTGGAGAACGCCTGCTTCTCCTTGGAGGAGCAGGAGACCCATTTCCAGAACCCCAGGGAGACTGGACTGGGCAGCTCCCCCAGCCCCCCGGGCGGCGGCCCCTCCCGGACCCGATCCCAGCGGGACGACGTGTCACTGCGTTCGGAGGAAGGGCCAGGCCTGGAACCCGTGAGCCGCCCGGTGGATTATGGCTTCGTCTCTGCCCTGGTTTTCCTGGTGAGCGGGATCCTCCTGGTGGTGACCGCATACGCCATCCCTCGCGAGGCCCGCGTCAACCCGGACACAGTGACCGCCCGGGAGATGGAGCGGCTGGAGATGTACTACGCCCGCCTGGGCTCGTACCTGGACAAGTGCATCATCGCGGGCCTGGGGCTGCTGACCGTGGGCGGCATGCTCTTGTCGGTGCTGCTCATGGTCTCCCTGTGCAAGGGTGAGCTCTACCGACGGCCCACCTTCGTCCCCGGCAGGGGCCCTCGGAAGACCTACGGCTCCATTAACCTGCGCATGAGACAGCTCAATGGGGACGGGGGCCAGGCTCTGGTGGAGAATGAAGTTGTCCAGCTCCCAGAGACCAGCCACACCCTCCAGGCGTCTTAAGTAAGAGCCCCCTCAACTCTCTGGCTTCCAAAGCCCCAGGATGACAAGGCTTCTGATGGCCTGGGGTTTCCATGGAGCCCCATCCAGGGCCCTGGTGGAGGTGTCTGGAGCGCTGGGGTAGGAGCCCAGGGCCGATGCAGGCCCTGCTCAGGCGGGCGGCCTGCTGGTTTGTTACATAGTTTGAGGTTTTGCATAAGGTTCTGTTTGGTGGTTGGCTTCTGCTCCTAAAAATACAAAAGTTTTGGAAACCACTGTTCTTGGAGGATGAGGTTTCTTGGCATTGCTGAGGATTGGGAGCTGCCTGACCCATTCCTCATGCTTCGGGGAATTCTAAGACCTCTGCCCTCCTCACTGGTCAAGTATGTGTGTCAGGTGTTATTGGAGAGACCTCTGTATTCTTGACTCCTTACAGTGGGAGGCAGCTGTGAGAAGCCAGCCTGGTTGACAGCATTCTGCATCATGTCTGGCATCCTGTGACCCTTCTCAGGGGTCCTAGCTGTACAATGATGGAGAGGCTCAGACTGGATGACAACTTGGGGTCCTCCAGGCCTATGCTGGTAATATCAGTGTCATAGCTCCTTCGGGAGGTGGGGATCCAATAGATTCTGTGTCTTTCTCTGGACCAGCCTTGGTGACCAGTGTCATTAGATGGCCAGCAGATTCCTGAGCCACTGGCGATCCTGCTCAAAGAGTCCCTGAGCCCCTAGTCAGGCGGGGCTACATCCACAGGCCCCCAGCCTGGGTTTTGGTCCTAGGATCCAGTTCAGTGAAGTGATTGAATCTTAGCCCACATCTTACAAAAGTCATGTTCACTGTTTTCACCAGCTCTGTGGACGAGATTGGTTCTTCAGGTATGAAAGGGTGAGGGCTTTGCAGTATTTCTGTAGAAGCAGCCTTTGTTTATTTTGGAGGAGAAATCAGGCTCATGTGGGTGGCCTGGATACTCCAGTCACACTGATCCCCATTTTTCCTCTGTGTCTGTCATGAAGCATTTTCAGGCTCCTTCATGATTCGATTTAAGCTCCTGTCCTAGCGGATGCGAGCTCAAAGAGAGGAGACCCAGGTGTGTTTAGGGACCGCTGGGATGCCTTGTCCAGCCTTGTAGGCCGCTGGCAAGAAGGCCTCTGGAAGGCTCGTTCAGTGACCTCCTTTCTCTGCCTCAGTCGGCTGGGACCTTTTGGGAATGGGAGGGTGGGGTCGCGCTGGTGCTCTTGGCCAGAGAGGCCTTGATTAGCTGTAACACTAGCCTTCAGTTCAATGGGTTGGGCATCTGGGCAGTGTAAAGTCACAGCTTCAGCGACAGATCAAATATCTGCTCCCACTAGCAGGTTTTTCCAAGAGCGGAGGGCTGGGGGAGGGCCGCAGGGGACAAGGAGCAGCCTGTCACGTTCTCCTTGTGGGGCTGTGGTTTGAAAAGAACAAAGCCCTGAGACTCAGAAAGATCAGACTGGTTGTGGGCTTCCACTGGTGGGCCAGTTTCTTCCAGGTCCTAAGCCAGGCGTGGCTATGGAAATGGCAATGACCCATTCTAGACCAACTACAGTCGAACTGGACACGTCAGACAATGGGCTGAGACCTTCTAAAATGTGTAGTCATCGTCATCATCATCATCAAAATATCACTCCAAACTATATGGATTACTGGAACAGTGAGGTGTTCATTTGGAGATGAAACCCGTTGAGCAGATAGATACGTCGGGGACCATCAATTCATATCAGCTTAAATGCAATGAATTGTATTTAAGGAGTAAATCTGTTAGAAGATTAAATCCCAGAAATCTCAGGTTTGCTCTGAGCCCGGGAAGCATGCTTTGCATCCTAATGCAGAAATTCCTTTAGAGAATGTGTATAATGGAGCGAGGCAGTCATTACCTTGTCAGTGAATTAAGGAAACTTGAGAGATGCCAAAAACATTTCCCCCAGATTGCAGCTGAGATCTCCCAGTTGGCAGAGCTGAAAGTGAGTCAGGAGCGAGTTGGGAGGGACAAGAGAAGAGAATGCTGTGGACTTTCCTTGCAGGGCTCGCTCTGGGGTGGCCCCAGAGCGCCTTAGGATCACCGGAATGGTTAGGACCATCTGGGAATGGCATCTTCCACTCCCATCTGCTTTTTTAGGGTCTCCTAACCTTGTGTCTCCTGATAGACCAGAAGAGATGGTGATTTTGGAGCCAGTCACATGTGGTTTGAGTCCAGACCTTGTCAGTTACTGGCTGTGTGACCTTGGGTCAGTTAATTTGCCTCTCTGCATCTTGGTTGTGAAGTGGGAATAATGAAAGCATTGCCACAGACTGGTGAGGACCTGAGAATAAGATAGAGACGCGTGGTGTGAGGTCTAGTAACAGTTCTCTTTCTCTGCTTCCGTGGGGTTTAACTACTTGCTAGGTGCCAGTGAGTAGTTACTCACAGTGCCCCATCTGCAACACATCTGAACTTTGCCCTGTCCTGAGTCGTCCTCACCAGTCCTGATGATGCTCCAGTGCATTGTCATGGTCACTGTGTCTGTCTTCCTCTCTTTTCTCTGAAGCGGTCTACCAGGTGTCTTTTTCCTAAGGACAGGTCCCTAGATCAAGCCTCATGAAATCTCGGCGCCCACCTAACTGCCGTCTCTCACGCTTCACATGTGTTCTGCTGGCAGATGTGGATAATTGAGCTTCTGTCTTCAGAACTGGGCTGCTGCTCGGCCCTCAACACCGTTCTGTGGTGTCCTGGCCTTCTCTCCTGGAGCCCCTGCCCCTTCCAGTTCATCCTCCACGAATCTGATAAAGAGTAATCAGATCATGGCATGCCTGCCCCCAGACCTTCCCATGACTCCATCACCAGGCAGTAGCCACAGCCCTCAGCATGGCTGAAGGTGGAGTCACCGCAAGACTACGAGAGTGTCCAGTCAGTCACCTGGCTTGCTGAAAGCTTTCAACTGAATTTTGTATTGCCAATTTTGATTTTATCTTCTTAAGAATGACTCCCTGAATTGCATTAGTTTCACATTCCCCCAAACCTGGATTTTTCCAAAATAGTTCTTATTCCATCTGCCCCCTTGGTTCTCTCTGGCCTCATTACTCACCCCATGTCCCCCACTCACCCCATTTAGCCACTCTGGCCTCCTTGCTGGGCTGGGTATGCCCCCCCCCCGGTACCGTTACATTTTGCTGCTCCCTCTCTGCCTGGAAGGCCCTTCCCTTCAATATTTGAAAAGCTCATTGTCTCACCTCCTTAAGGTTTTACCCCTCCCCAGTATCATTTTCCTGAGGCTTTTGCAGACCATCCTGTTTAAAAAAGTCTGCTCCACCCCTTCCCCTCACTCCTTCTCCTTCCCTGCTCGATTCTCCTCCAGAGCTCTTGTCACCACCCTCGAGGCTGAAGCTTGTAATTATTTATTGTCTCTCTCCCCCCCCCCACCTCCCTGCTGGATCACATGATTCAGGAAGCCTGGCATCCTGGTCAAACTTGCTCATGCCTTTCCCTCCCCCAGGGTCCACCACAGTGTTTGACGGTAGTGGGTGTTTGTGGTCAAGTGAAGGATGAATTTAACCCAGATTTCTTATGGCTGCTGCAATGCAGGTGGGGGCCTGGAGACCCAGGATCTTTGCTCATCTCCTCGAGCCCCTTATCCAGGTGGGAGTCAGTCGTGTGACGTTCCGGGAGTGTGTGTCGGTGGATCTTGGGAACCCGTTTGCTGCCTTCTCTCAGCCTTAGTTCCACTGTATGTGGAAGAGTGAAAATAGAAGGGGGGGGGGACACCTGACAGAGGAAGACTCCTCTCTCCCAGCCTTGTCTGAACCCAACCACCTGAACTAAGCTGGACCTGAGAGACAGTGGCTGAATGTTTTGGAGTCTTTCCAGAGTTAAGCCACGGTGCCCTCGTGTCATATACTATCAGCCTGGTTCTCACCCACCGGAGGACTGAGTGCCCAATCCTGCACCTTTGAAGTTTCAGGATCCATCTTTACATCTGTTCACATACCGTAGACATCCTGAGAGAGTCTACAGATTCCAGATAACCTACTGCCTGAGATGCCACCATTATTGTCCCTTTCTGGGGGATTAAGGATGACCTTCTTTGGACTTCTCTTTAAATTTTATTCTTTTTTTTGTATATGTACCATCAAACCGGATCTGACTGGTACAGGAGGAGGTTGCCCCTCCTTCTCCAGCAGAGCATCTGGTGGATTCAAAGCACATACCTCTGGGATTGCAGTGCAGCTTCTTGCCACTAGGCCACCAGAGCTCCCTGGACTTCTCTTTAAACTGTTCTCCTCCCTGTACATAACCATGTGCTCACGCATGCACATCCACAAGCCCACAGAGGCACGTTACACATTTGTACATACACCTGCATTCTCAGTCATGCTCTCCCTTCCTTGCTCACCTCTGATCTAACTCAGAAGCCAAGGGCACATCCTCCCTTGAAGCAGCTACAAGCCACGCCATCCTCTGGATTACTGATAACATTTCTGCTTTCTCTCCAAGCACAGACCTTGCCCTTCCCAGGATGTAATGCCAAAGCAACAGTGATGTTTCCCCTCCCAAATGTGTGTAGGCATCTCGGAAACCATCCTGCCTCCTCACTGCTGGAAAGCGAGCATTTCCATCCAGACTGTGTAGGGCCCAGGCCGGAGCCAGGCCCTGCTGGTCACCCCTCCTCTGTGGACCTTTGGGCCAGTTGTTCCACCTCTTTGGTGTCCCAGAGCTAAATTCAAGAGTCTTCTCGTTCCAGATTCTCCAGGGGCTGAGGGAATCAGGAAGCACAGCGGGTCGGCTTTCCAAAGTTAAGACATGGCCCCCTACATCTCGAGAGGTTTGGTGGGAGAGGAAGAAGAGGAGGAAGAGGAGGATGAAGGTGTGATGGAGAAACACAGGAAATTGGGGAAACCCAAGAGGCTGTTGGTGAGCTGCCTCAGCTGACCTGTTAGTGTCTCCTGGAGAGAATGGGCCTCATGGTGTTGCCCAGAAGGTAGATTTCCACTAAGAAATGACTGCTGAGGTCTCGCCCAGAACGCGGTGGGAGGGAGCTCCCTCCTCACTGATGCAGGTTTGGCAGCATCCAC